TCTAACAGTTCCGTTTGACTCTTTTGTAAAGCGTGTAATTCCTCTTTTAGATTTTGCAAGAATTTCCTCACCTCCTGGAACTCGTCAACTTCTTTCTCCTTTCTCTTTAGCAGTTCATTGTCTCTCTTCTCTTCCATCTCAGTTAGCTTCGCCATTATGAATACTCTAAATTTTTTATCAGACATCTCCATGATTTCCATTGAACTGTTTGTGGATCCATTGAACTGCTTGTGGATGAAGAGGAGTTATTCTTTTCCCTTGGAGGAGAGGTATTTTCTTGCTTTCCCATATTTCTTGTGGTCCTGTGGCGATTTCTTGTCATCTGATGGATGGTGTGTTTCTTTCAAATTCTTGAAGTTCAATCACACTAGCTTTGTTTGCTGGAGGCTGAATTATGAGTAGAAAATATTCATTTCTCCTGTCCCCTGAAATGACTAGTTTGCAGGAGCCATGAGGAATCCTCTTCTCAAAGAGCCATGTTTTCATCTCATATATTTTTTTATTTTTAAAGTTTTGTCAATTTATGGGTTCCTATTTTTATTATTTCCTTCCTTCTGCTTGCCTTGAATGTGATATTTTGAAAAGACTTAAAGATAAATTTTAGGGACCAGCAGATGGTGTGGTGGTTAAGGTTCTGGACTGCCACATGGTTGAGTCTCGGATCAGGGGTTTGAAAATCATGCTGGGGGGACCAGCAGGTGGTATGGTGGTTAAGGCGCTGGACACTCCCACAGTTTGAGTCCAAGACCTGGTGGGTTGCTTTCTCACGTTCCCTCTCTCCCTCTCTCTTTCTCTGGTCAAATTAAAATGAATGAATGAATGAATAAAATAAATAATTCTTTGTTTTTTTCTGAGATGATTTTAGTATAGGGAGCATGCATTCGCCAGAAAGACAGAGAGAGACAGAGAGATAGAAAGCAAGAAATAACCCCCCAGGGAGGATGACCACGCCACAATCCCTTCTCCTCTATTCTCCTCTCGGGATCTTGGGCACACACGCACACGCGCCCGGCATGAGTTTAAGCCACTGGGTCCGGGACTCGAACTGTGGTCGATTACATGGGAGTTCAGTGACATAGTCATTACGCTAACTGCTGGTCTCAATAAATAATTCTTTTAAAAAAAGAAAGAAAAAGAAAATCATGCTGGATGCTTGTGTGTGCATGCCTAAAATCCCAAGAGAAGAAAGAAGGAAAAGGGATTGTGCATGGCCATGCCCCCCGGGGGATGATTTCTCACTTTGCCTTTCTCTGTATTTCTCTGTCTCTCTCCTCTTCGGTGAGCACATGCACCCTCTGGCAAAAAACCCCAACAACAAACAAATAGATTTTATTCATTAAAGATTATTATATATTGCATATATCTTTATGTTATATAGATTTCCTGGTCATTTTTTTTTATTAAATGCTAGGTATTAAATTGAGTAATGTTATTCTCCTGCAGAGATGATTCCGTCCTGTGACATGGCTAGAAGAAGGGTAAATCACATCGATCCAATGAGGAATTGTGATGATTGGTGGCAGGGATTTATTTCTTAGGAAGGATTCTCTACTTCTGGCCTGTATTTTTCCTAGTGCATAGTCCTTTAGGGGCCTAAACAGAAAGCCTTAGTTTTTACCAAACGTCTTCTGTTTGACAGATCCTAACATCATGCTTTAATCTTTCAGGACTGCAAAAACCACTATCAGGTCTGCTTTGCCTTTAAGGCTATGACCCATGTTTTCTGCTTGGTTTCTTATACTATTATATATGCTCCAAGCAGTTTAATAATTGCAAAAAACTTCAAGGTAGAAAAATATCAGACTCTCTTTTCTGAGGTTCCCTTTCCTTTGGGACTTTTGCCTTGAAAATTGGCTGCCTTGTTGACTCTAAAGTGTGATTTTTCTTTTTTTTCTCTCCAGCCCCAGGGAACTGCAGAAATACTTAAGCAGTTGCTTTCTTCTGGTCCTCTCTGCAACTAATAAATAGGCAGATGTCCTCAGGTAAGAGCAACGTGCCTGGCCTGGTTGCATTTCCCTCCTCGCTGGGCTCCAGGCACCCTGTGGCCTGGCTTTCCTGGATTTCTGTCTCATGCTTCTAATAGTTGTTTGGTATGCATGTTTTTCCAGCCTTGCTAGCTCTTTTCATTGTTTCAGTTGTTCTGCTAACAGCTATTGCACCAGAGTCAGAGAGGAAGTCTTTCTACATCTGTGAAAAATAAATACATACTCTGAATTAAAATAGCTCTTTAGGACTGGTGTCTACATATTTTGTTAAATTTGGCATGGCTCAAGTGAATCATTTTTTTTTCTCCCCCAAGTATACATTATCCATTCCCCCCATTAAAGCTAAGCAAAATTAGAGAATCATCATTCTTTTAAAAAGCTTTTTATTAGGAAGGATGTAATATGTATTAGACTAGATAGAGCAGCATAATGAACCCCTACATATCCATCATCCTTTATTAATTTTGCTTCATCTACTTCCTCTGCTCTGGTTTTTTTCTTTCTTTTTTTTTTTCTTTTTTAAGAAACTTCCAGGTCCAATGTAATTTAATTTATTCTTATTTCCGCATGCATCTCTAAATAATGACTCTTAGGAAAACATATCATGAAGGACCAGCAGACAGCGGAGTGGTTACATTGCTGGACTCTCACGTAGTTGACCGCGGTTAAGAGTCCCAAAATGCCTAGAGGAGAATGGAGAAGGGATGACAGCATGGCCATCCTCCCCAGGGGGTGATTTATGGCTTTCTGTCTCTCTGGTGAGTGCACATGCACTATAAAAAAAATCTCTCTTAAAAAAAGAAAGAAAGAAGAAAGAAAGAAAGAAAGGAGAAAGAAAGAAAGAGAGAAAGAGAAAAACATACCATGGGGCCAGCAGGTGGTATGTTGGTTAAGACACTGGACTCCCACATGGATAATTGTGGTTTGAGTCCCGAACCTGGCAGCTTGAAACTCACACTGGGCGTATGTGCGTGTGTGCCGAGTTCCAAGAGGAGAATGGAGGAGAAGGGATTATGGTATGGCCAACTCAGGGAGGGCGGGAAGCATGGTTTCTTACTTTCCCTTTCACTGTATCTCTCTGTGTCTCTCTCCAGTGAACACACGTACCCTATGACAAAAACCTTTAAAAAAAGAAAAAGGAAAGAAAAGAGAAAAACATCTTTATAACATCTAAAAATTATCAAAAATTTCTTTATAGCATCAAATATTCAGCCAGTGGTAAATGAGGGCTCTCCACTGAAAACATTTCTTTGGGTGATTCTGATGCACAGCCAGGCTCTGGGATCGCAGGCATGACGGGATGGGGTGGGGTAAAGCTGTGGAGTCGGCCTACCTACTTTTAAAAAGCTTTTCCTCCCATTATCTAGATGGCTGTGGAGAAGGCTGAAATAATTGAGGTAAACAATGACAAGCTGTTTTCTGGACCCATTGGAATTAATGGACTGGAACCCTATACAGAATGTATCTGTATCTACAGGAAATACATGATACACTGACATGGGTGGAAGTTAATGAAGGGGTGATTTGTAAGCTCATGGGTGAGGTCAAGAGGGAACAGAGGTGGCGAGAACCCCATCTTGCAACAGGAAGCCATTGCTGCTTTTACGATTGAAGAGGCAAGGGGAAGCTTGCCATTGTTAGAACGGAGGAGAGGATTTGAGGCAGGATCCGGGGACTTTGCTGAAGAAGCAGTCCTTGCCAGCTTGCGGCCAGGCAGGGAAGGTGCCAGAGGAATAAATACCCTGACCTCTGTCTGTCTCCCCTCTAATCTCTGTCAGGGCCTCTCATTGATTGAAGCAAATCGACTGCCAGAGAGCAAGGGGGTCCATTGTTCGATGCAGTCTGTAAATGCTGTCCTCCCGGGGCACAGAGCAGAGTATGGAGCAGAGTGAGCAGGATGGAGCATGGATCTCAAATAGCAAATCAGGACTGTGTGGGACAACCTCTAATTTCTAAAGGCGGTGGTGCAGAAAGTAGAGAAAATATCAGAGAAGAGTGTCTTTTTTTTTCCTTTTTTTTTTTCAAAGAGAGAGATTTTTGCTATAGGGTATAAGTGCTCGCCGGAGAGACAGAGAGAGACAGAGAGACAGAAAGTGAGAAATCCCACTCCCCCACACACGCACCAGGGAGAATGGCCATGCTGCAATCCCTTCTCCTCCATTCTCCTCTTGGGATCTTGACCATGTATGCACCTGTGCCCGATATGAGTTTTAAGCTTCCAGGTCTGGGACTCAAACTGTGGTCAACTATATGGGAGTCCAGTGACCTAACAATTATGCAATCTGCTGGCCCCAGAGGGGAGTGTCTTAATCTGTTTCAGTTGGCATTAAAAAATACCATAGATGGAGTAGCTTATTTTTTCAGAGTTCTTAGAGGCCGGAAGTCTGAAATCAGGGAGTCAGTAAGATTGGGTTCTGATGAGGCCTCTCTGACTGGCTTGCAAACCAGGGGGAGGCATTTCTGCCTCTTCCTCTTCCTATAAAGCCACTAATGCACCATGAGGGCCTCACACCCTCTTGACTTCAGCTAAACTGACTTATTTCCTAAAGACCCCATCTCCAAGAAGCATCCCACTGGGGAGCCAGGGCTTCAACACATGGACTTTGACAGGATACAGACATTCAGTCCATCATTTGTGAAAAGAAGCAAATGCGTTTCTCAGCCCTAAGCACACCCTCCACGAAAACACTGGTGGGTTGTGCTGGGGTGATGGCAGTGCCTGGCTTCTGTGGCCCCCTGGATGGTGCCTTCACTAATGCATGTGGACTGTCAAACCTCAGCTTGGCAGGCCCTCCATGGGTGGGAAATGTGGAGATGACAGAGAGAGCTGCTGGGGACCAGCAGTTAGCATAATGGCTATGTCGCTGGACTCCCACGTAGTCGACC